GGGACCAGCAGAAAAAAGCAAAAAGAGCCCAAATAATGGTCCCAAGATGGAAGGAAATAGGGTTGACAACCTTGGAGAGGCTACAAATCAATTCTTGTACCAGCATTCATCTGTCTCTTTCTCTCTCTGATTTTTCTTAGGGCCCTCACTGACCTATTTCATGCTCTCTTTAACCCTCCTTGTCTTGTCTATGTAAAGGCAACCTTCTTCTTTAAGGGCTGTACATAGTCAAGAGCTGTACACAGCCTTTTCTATTGTAATAGAGTAAATAAAGTCCAATAAGGATCTTTGCGATTTTAGGAGGTCTCTTCAGACAGTGAAACGAGGGATTTCTTCAGATTAGTGATGTCAATCTCTAGCTGTTTGATGTTCTTGTCAGTGGCCCTTCAAAGGTCTGAGTAGTATAAGTTCGGAGGCCAGCATCTGGATTAGAACTTCTAACAGCAGACATTCACAGGTGATTCATTTTTACCTGGGATGCTGCCTGAGTTAAAGCTCCTGGGAGTCCCTCTTTCTCTCGGTTTTCTGGGGTTGGGTACAGAGCTGCCGCCTGTGACCTGCTCTATGCTCGGGCCCAGACCAGAAGTCCATCTCTTCATTTTTTAATGTGATCATTCAATCAATAGAAAAAATTAACATTAATAAAATCTAATTTATTAAATTTTTTTATAAGTATTATTTTTTATGACTTGAGAATTTTTTGGCTCCTATAAATTCACAAAGATGTTTTCTTATATTTTCCTCCAAAGGCCTTATACTTTTGGCTAACTTTAAGACTATGATGCCTGTGTATGGCACACACCTTTAATTCCTGCACTTACTTGGGAGGCAGAGGCAGGCAAATCTCTGAGTTCAAGGACAGCCTGGTATATAGAGTGAGTTCCCTGCACCTACAATGAGCAGCACACAATGACTTGCAACTCCAGCTCTCAGAGGGAATTGCGGCCTCTGCTCTCCAAGGACACTTGAATTTCATCTGCACATATCCATATATACATACATACATACATACATACATACATACATATGCATACACACACATAAACACATATAAAATTTTAAAATCTTTTTTCGTATGGATACTGTTTATTAAAAATTTTTATATTAAATGAACACAACATTTTGAAATGTTTAATAAATTTAGACAACTATGAAAGATATGATAAACCAAAATTTTCAAGAGAATTAAAGAGTCAGGTGATACTTAAGCCATTAGACCAAAGGGAAAATAGCTATGGCACATGGAACAAGAACTTTAGGTACTGAGGACTCACACAATGGTTCTGCTCTTCAGCAGTTTCCCATTGTGGTCATATAATTTGTCTAGACTTGACTTATCTACCATGGTGAATAGAGCCAGGGTGGAGGCCAATGGCAATGCCTTGTGTCTCAGACTAGGATAAATGGCTTCACCCTCTCTTCTAGCCTGTTGAAGAGAAGAAGTGATAGAAAAGGATTTCTAACTGTGTCATTCAAACAATGGATGAATAAAATCTCCACAGAACTTACATGCTTTGGCTGAGGCTCCATTCCCATAATCTTTAGTGCTCTCTGTCTCCGTCTCTCTCTTTCTCTCTCTCTCTGTGTCTTGGATTGTGAAGTTATTTTCCATTTTAGCAATATACTTTCTATGCCACAAGTCACTACATCTTGCAAGAAGGAATCTCTTAAGCAAATTGGGGCAAAGACAGAGTAGGGAACTGTCCTGATCACTGAGTGTGACAGGCAATAGAGGAGATGTAGATTTATAACTCCTGAGTTATGCCACCAACCCTGGGCACTGTGACTTTATTTGTTCCTTTGGATAACACCTTGGTTTTTAATTTCTTCAGGAGGTCAAATACACCCGATGTATGCAAATGATGTACCCTATATATTAAATGCCTTTCTTAATATACATATTTAAGATTTGCATATGCTAATGAAGGGCTTCATTCCTGGACTGTGTACTCAGATAGACAAGCAATTGCAGACAACAGGGCAGCTGTGTGAGAGCTGCAAAGCAGGCACTCTGTCTGTCATCTTAACAATGCAGGGAACAGGACATGAGACACACAGTCTGCTGAACTGCCACACTTTCTCCAGTAAGGGCTGGTTTTTCTACCAGTGTCTTTTTGAAATGCCTCTTGCTTAAGAATGTTTCGTGAGAGTCATTTTCATTTTTCATTATGTGTGTGAACATATATGGGTGTAGGCACATATGTAAAGATCACAGGACAATTTTTTGGAGTTGGACCTTTATACCTTTACATGGGTTCCACAAATTGAACTCAGCTCACCATACGTATGTGGCCAGTATCCTTTACATATTGTCATCTCACTAGCCCAAGACTCAGTTTTAGTAGGCAGGCCAAAGACTTAGTCTCCTTCTCCTGGGAGACTGGAAATGAGTATAAGTAGGGATGTGGTGGAGAGATGTTATAGCCTAGACCAGGGCCAGAAGGACCTATAGTGGAAGGCAAGGTTTGGATGGCATGTAACAAAAGATCCCTACTGGAAACCTCTAATTGTAGGGAACACAGCTAGCTTCACATGCCAGTCTTCCTTTACTGTGAACCAGTTACAGCTGCCATGTACAATGATTGTGTGTCTGTGAGAAAAAAAAGAATTGGTAAGCATAGGTTTTTAGAGATAGCTGAACATAAAGGAGAATAACTGGTATAGCAAATCAGCCATCAAATGAACACATCTTAGTGACAGTCCCCTAAGCACCCATCTGTGCTGCTATCTGCAAATGAATGCATGAAAACACTTAACCTTTCAAAATTCTGGGCTTATGGTTTCTAGAACGACCCATTAGTGAGGCTTTTTTCCACAATATCTGTAGCCAGTGACCTGCCTGCTGGAGAGGTGAGTGTGACAGCACAGGCATTAAGAGAAAGGCAAGTTCATTTTTATACTGCAACAACACTGTGAACTTATGTTACTAACCCAAATGGGATAAGTGCAGCGAACACACTGATGTATGCATGGTCCCGGATGGAAGCATCCATGTTGACCATGGAGGGACTTTTACATAGTCACACAAAAACACTGTCCTACTAAGAAAGTCACAAGGCTGACCAAAAGACAGAGGCAATATAACTTCATGTTTATTGCTAGAAATTCTAAAATTAAAAACATTTCAGATTTTCTGGTTGATGATGGTAAAGCCACTGACTTTGGGAAAATAAAATGAGTCTTTAGGATGTTGGATGGATGAGTCTGTGTTAGCAGATGAAATAGTTTGGACACGGATAAGTGGCCTAACACATGCAACCTGTCCAACCAAATCATGAAGAACTAGAAAACAGTAATAAATCAGTAGCAAGTAGAGAAACTGAGTTAATATTCAGATAACTGGCTTAAAAGTACAGACCCAGAACAAATATAACAATGTGTCTTCTTACACGGGATAGTTTCTGTGACACCTACCTAGATGCAGCCACATCTGAAGAAAACACAAACAGAAAGTCTGCTGCACAGACAGTTGTGCCCCACTAAAGGAATGAGTTCACAACGGTTGCTTTTCCTCTCAGATGGTGCATCTATCTCCCAAAGAACAGCTTTGGGGCAGGAAAGAACTATTTCATTTCAGGCTGGACTACCCATCTACCAAAATACCATTCTGACCAAAGAAACAGATGCAGAATTACAATCACAGCTGCATTCTGCACACAAGTTGGATAATGGTATTCTAAATTGCTAATTACACCTTTAATGGTGTTTTTAGTGCTACTGCAGTATTTTGCCACCTTTGTATAATTAAAAAAAACACTCAGTAAGGTTTTTAAATGATTTTCTGTTTTGTTAAAACCAATGAGTCTTCCAAGGAGAAATCACTCCCCTCCGCCCCCAACAAGATAGGGTTTCTCTGTGTAGCCCTGGCTGTCCTGGAACTCCCTCTGTAAAGCAGACTGGTCTCAAACTGAAGAGATCCACCTGCCTCTGTTGCCCGAGTAGTAGGATTAAAGGCATGTGCCACCATGACCAGCTTAAAACTCATTTCTTGAAGTGGCAGTCTCATGGTATTTGTTAAAAACTCATTTATTAACAAGCAATTTGTTTTAATTTACTTCCTTAATAATTATTTACATTTAAGATTAGAGAAATAATAAGTATGTTAGTCAGTGTTTATATCTAAATCCATAGTTGGTATAGGAAGATTATTACCTGGCATACATTGTGACATGTTGGCACTGGGAATATTCTATGACTAGATTTAGAAAAGTATACCAACAGTATAATTTTATTTTTATTGTGATTACAATGGTAAATTTATATACTAGTAGTACTTACTCTATCATTTAATTTGTCAGCATAGTTGAGGCAAATTATTACTTTTTGATATAATAATGCCACTAATGTTTTGATATTATGTTAATAGTCAATAATATATTAAAATACTTCTACAATTTCATATTGTTTCTTATACATTTCTTTCTTTTTTTTTTAAAGATTTATTTATTTATTATATGTAAGTACACTGTAGCTGTCTTCAGACACCCATATGAGGGCATCGATCTCATTGTAGATGGTCGTGAGCCACCATGTGGTTGCTGGGATTTGAACTCATGACCTCTAGAAGAGCAGTCAGTGCTCTTAACCGCTGAGCCATCTCACATGCCCTCTTATACATTTCTTATACATTACAGAAGTGGGAAACTAATTTCCTTCTCATATGTCTATCTCAAGCTGACTAGAAATTTTGATATGCTATATTAGAAACACATTTTGTATGCAGACGACATTCTATCAATGAAAACTGTGTCATGGTTTTGATAAATGTTATACTTAGCAAGGTGAATCACTAGGCGAAAGTTACACACAAGCATAACCATGCAGTAACAATGCTTATTTGTTCCCACTCTTCCCTGTCACCCCAGCCCTCCTCCCTTTCCTGTGACCCAGGTAGCTGTGTAGCTGAGGATGGTCTTGAACTCGGCATACTCCTGCCACCACCTAACATGTGACATGCGCTACAGCCAGGCTGCAATCACACTTCCTAAACTAATACTTACATTTTCTTCAAACTGATCATCCAGTTTCAGTGATCTTTTAACTCTGAAAAAAAATATTTAAAGACATTTTAGACTTGACATGCTTTACTTTAGGCTGATATTTTAGGCTAAAATAGAAATAATTGAGAACAAGTTATTTTTAACCAATTTACTTTTATACTGCTTCTTAAAGCTAAATGCCATGTGGGAAAAAAAACAATTATGATGATAAATTTGGATTTAATGGTTTTATTTGATCAGTTTATTTCTAGTAGCATATTTTAATATGAGATCCTAATTAAACATTTAAATGAATAATTTCTTTATATATATGTCTTACCATAAAATTTAAATATTAAAGTTTTATTTTTCTTTGGTAGTAGTACTGGGTACTGAAACCAGGCCTTTGTGCTTGGTAGGTAAGATCTCTGATTTATAACCCCAGACTAGTTTTTATTATAAAAAGTTTTAGTAAAAAAATCAGTTGTCTACATTAAAATATTATGAGGAAAAATTACATATAACAGAAAAATATTCTAAATATCTTTGATAGAAGCACTGGAAAATGTGTTTGCAGGAACAAAGTGTTAAGTGATTCAGGTATTTGTAAGGCAAAGTTTTGCACATTATCCTAGCATTGGACATGATTCAGAGCAAGCAGACTATGACTTAAAAGGGGAACAGATGCTCCATGTCTTTACAAGTCCCCAATCCATAAGAAACTATTTCTTGTTTCCTTCACTACACTGATTCAGGGACGCGCCAGGCTCTCTCTGTGTAAAATCTGTTCTGCTGAACGGGATGCCCAGCTGTTGGTGACAGTGCTTAGAAAGGAAAGTTGAATATTTATAATACTTTATTCCATACAGCTGCCTTCTAAAGAGCAGTCATCAACATTTTATTGATCGTAGACTAAATGTTCAAAGGAGAAAAAAGGTCAATATAAATTAAAACTGGTTTTCCAAATGCAATATTAAAAGTACTTCTTGATCTTTGAGAAAGAAATTACCTCAAGTATTAGAAAATTAGAGCATTCTGTAAAAGACTGCACTGTATTCTGTTTTATAGACTTTCTCCTAAAAATACATATAGATCCTAGGGAATTACGAGAACATTTTTCTTTGTTTTTAAATGCAGTGACAGTAGCTTTTATAAGAACATAAAGCTTGCCCTGATACTGCTCAAAATATTATTGTTGTATTATTATTGGCTAATTCTTAGAAAATACAATTCAGTGTTTAGATTTAAAGAGGTTTCAGATTAGATAATAAGTAGATCTATGATCCCAAGGAAATGTTAAACTGTCACAAAAGTCCGTTAAAATAGGCTATAATCTATTTTATGTTTGTTTAGTGTCTAAAGATGGGATTTACTGAAGGTAATACAGTAGTAAGTAAGTTGGTAATAAGTATCCTAAGAAGATTTAATAGGTAACAGAAGAAGACATGTGAGAAATTGACTTAGTTCAGCCTATAGACAAGTTTATGCAACTTGCTCAATGTGACGTTTTCAGAGAGGGAAACTCAGAGCTATGGCAATGTGTCGTGATAAAAACATCTTTCCCATGCTAAGAGACCAGAATCTTTTCTGGAGATCATAACAAAAGCTAGTAATCCATCTTGAGGACTGCTATCCTATTGTGTACTCAGTCTGTTTATTTAGCTTGGAAATGCCTTGGATTTCCCTTGCAATCAGCTTTTACAACTAAGCTAATGTGTTTCTGTAATCTTACATTATGTGCTCTTTCATGCCCCTGGGCAGAGTAATGCATGTGTGTTCTGATAGTCATTTGATGGAAACAGCACATATGCTGAAAGTGGTCTTATAAATGAATATCCACCACAAACGTTGAACACAAAATTTGGGTACTGCTTGATAAACAATGATTTTTGTAACACTGTTTGTTATCTGGGTCAGTTAGGGTCAGCTGAAGTTAGTGACTTAATCAATGGTAAAACTGTTAAAGGCTTTTGTAAAATATCCCTCATTCCCTCCCCCATGTAATTTTTGTGCTCTATAAATACAAAGCAAAGGCCTCAGTTAGTGACAGACATATTCACAAGACAGTCTTTAGACAGGCACAGATTCAGACTCATAGAAAGCCATGAAGGATGGAAGATACTTTGAGGGAAAAGTGGAAACTCAAATCTGGGTTTGTTATTGGTTAGATGGCATGAAGGAGGGCTTTAATTTCTTTCCTTAGGGGATATTGATTTATCATTGGTTTATTGGTTTATTATTAATTATTATTATTATTAAGAGTTTATTATTAATGCGTTCAAACCAACCACATAGGTTTTGAATTGTGAGAGAGAAAATTATACATCACTTAAAGAAGAACAAATTTATGATAATTTATCCTTACCTTTTGATCAGAATTGGACACACTGTTACCAACTACTAAATTAAGCCTGCACTGCTTACATCGGTATTCCTTCACCCAGAAACAACTGATATAAGATGATGAAATGACTAAACTCATTACTCTGAAGTCAACAGGAACCAAGCAGAAATAGATGAGACAAATTAGGAAGAACAGGTAAAACCTGACTAGACACAAGGAACTTTCTAGAAGTTCTAAAGCTGTAACTGGCTCTTAAGGCTACTCTCTTGGTTAAGTAAATACTAAACAACAAAAAACCCATGCAAGCAAATAGGGTGATATATGCCTATAACTGCATCATTCAGGAGGCCGAGGCAGGAGGATCCAGAGTTTAAGGCCTAGATGGTCTACATAGCAAGTTTCAGGACAGCCCAGGATAGCAAAAGAAGGCAAGGGGGGTTAAAAATGGGCAAAGGATTTGAATACACATTTCTCCAAAGATATGAAAATGAGCAGCAAGCACTCCAAAAGATGGTCAATAGTCGATCCACATCAACCCCACGAAGTTCTGCAGGCTACTGAGTACTACTATTAAGAGGGTATTAGAGGAAACCAAACAAGAGACCAAACAAGTAATATGGCAAAGATGCAGGGAAACAAGAAACTGGGCAGACTGCTGATGAGAATGTAGACCAGCAGGGCACGACTTAAACATCATGGGTCCTCAAAGAAGTAAAGACAGAATTATCATGTTTAAGGATCCATCTACAACATGAACTGAAAGCCAGCATATGAACAGGCATGCATAAACAATGCTCATGGCAGCAGTCTTAAAATGGCTAAACAGCAGAAGCAGCCCAAGTGGCTGGTGGCAGATGCGGTAATACACAGAATGTGGTACATATGTGGATATTAGTCAGCTTTAAAAATACAATTTTATTTCAGGCCTGACTACTTTGCATTAGTTAGCCAATTAGGGTACTCAACCCTGGGAGAAGTTAGTTCTCCCTCTCAGTGGTCATTAATGGTCTGTAGTAAACCACACTAGACAGACCCAGCAGGTTTTATTTATATGTACATGTGTGTACCAATAATAATCAAGGAAAAAAAAGATCATCAATTTGAAAGGGAGTGAAAGGGGCCATAGGAAAGGTTTTGGGGAAGTGGAGTAATTATATTTTTATTAAAAAATAATAAAAAATAAAAACAAAAAAGAAATTTGACACGTTACAATATAGATAAAGGCATTGCCCTAAGTAAAACAAGCCACTTACAAAAGGATAAACTGTGAAGATTTTATTCATATGACAGTAGACAAATTCAGAATAAAATGATGACTTCAATGGGCTAAAGCCAGGAAGTAATGGGAAATCATTGTTTAGTTAGAGTAGTTGAAGTAAGTCTAGGATGGATGGTAGTTGTGGTGGTGTGAATATGCTTGGCCCAGGGAGTGGCACTATTAGGAGGTATGGCCTTGTTGGAGAAAGTGTGTCATTGTGGGGGTTGGCTTTGGGACCCTCCTCCTAGCTGTCTGTCAGCCAGTCTTCTCCTGTTTGCCTCTGGAACTAGATATAGAACCCTCAGCTCCTCCAGCACCATGCCTGCCTGGATGCTGCTAGCTTTTCTATCTTAATGATAATGGACTAAACCTCTGAACCTATAAGCTAGTCCCAATTAAATGTTTTCCTTTATAAGATTGCCTTGGCAATGGTGTCTGTTCAAAGCAGTAAAACCCTAACTAAGCAAGTGGTGATGGTTATACAACAGTGTGGATGTACTCCCACTTAAGGGTAATCTTAAAATTGAAGGTAACTTCTTATTTTCCATTTTCTCAAATTTCCACCTACTCCCATAATTTCAACATTATATTCCACTCTTAGTTGTACTAGGTTTAGATTCACTGTGTGATGGTTAGTTTTAGCTGCCAGCCTGATGAGATCGAGAAGGGCCTAAGAGATCAGTATAACACACCCCCGGGTTTCAATGGAGGCATTCTTAGAACCCATCTTGAACATGGAGGTACCACTTCATAGAGAGGGGCCCCAGATGGGATGAAAAGGATGAAGGAAAGCTCAGTACTTAGGTGTTTTCTCTTTGCTTCCTGGCCACTATGATGTGAGTAACTGCTCCACTATGCCTCAGTGCCATGGTGGTCTGATATGTTTACAACTGAGAGCCAAAATAGATGTCTTTTCTTCCTGAGCTTGTTTTGTTCTGCTAACAAAACTGGGATCAAAATCACAGTTGTTCCCAGTATTAAATGTGGTTACAATTTTATAAAGACAAATATATTTGCTGTGCAAAGCTTTTAACAGGTAAAATTATATAACATTCTTTAGGAATAGTCCACCATTTTATTTAGCTTACCACATGACAGTATCCTTAAAAAGGATTCTCTGCTTCATCACAACAAAATGATTGGTTAAGTTTTACTATACAATGCTACTAACATGAGTTATAATACTAAAACAATGGTTCTAAGGGGGAATTTATCATTGATTCTTAACCAAGAAGGAAAGATACCATAGAAGCTCACAAAACTATATGATGAGGTTCTTTTTAATAGAACTTTTAAAAATTAAACATGATTTTGAATGGTAGAGTCAAGGATGGTAGTTGGGGGTGGTGAAGAATAAACTTAGGAAAGCAGGTAAGACTGGGCAGGGGGGATCTTTGATGTTATGCCAAATTCTTCCCTAAGGTTGAGCAAATCACATAATCACACTAAGCGTCATAATCTT